ATAAAACCAAAAACTTGTAGAATTTTATGAAACAAGCCTGAGAATTGAAGAAAATTTAAAACAAAAACGAAACAATAAGTTCACAAGGAGTAATTTTGTTTATGGGATGGAAGAATTTAATTTGGAACACAAAAGAAAGCCAAACGCTTGTAAGATTTGTGAGAGTTTGGAATACCAAAATAGGTTCCATTGAGCTCAAGACTGTTGGAATAAGTGAAAATTGCATGAACGAAAGGAAAAAGTAAATCTCGCAGAGGTCAAAAACAATGAAGAATGAAGCAAAAGTAAAAAATTGGAGACAAATCACAAGGAAATGAATCATAAAATAGAAAAGACAAACAAGGAAAGTGTTCAGGAAAATGAATTAAATGAAATCAAAATTGAGGACACAATACAAAATGGCCAATTCACTAAAAGTATTAATGAAAGAAACAATAACGATACAAATAAAAATGGTTCACAATATGAAAAAGGAACAGAAATGAACAATATTGAAGATTTAAATGTGTTGAAAGACAGAAATTGAAAAGTACAAGAAATGTTGAGAGAGACACTACCAGATGAATTATCCAATTCAGATCTGAATGTCCTTCAAGATAATTCAACAAATTTTATCTGTTTGACAGATAGCAGCAAATGTTTGAGTAAATCGAACTCTATTCTTCTAACAATGAGTATTTTAATAGGAATCATCATCGGTCTGATGACAATTGTAGGAATAACAACAAGATTATCCATTTACATTTTCCACCACTGGAAATTGTGAAAGAAACCACAAGACAAATCTAGAACCTCGAAAATAGATAGAGTAGTTAGTTTTACAACACAAAGACCTGTCAAGAATCGATCTACAAAGCGAAGATTGAATCTACGAGAAGTAATGGAAGAAAATGATTCCCCTGTAAACACTTGGATGTAAAACATCTGGCAACACTGAAACAGAAGTTTTGAGAAGGTGAAGAAAAAAGGACAACATGTTAATGACGGAAATCAAGAAGTGAGAAAAGAAACTTTACATATGTATGTACAGTATATTCAAAATATTTATAAGTATTCTACATTTTATCAATAATATACAATTGATCCTTTGCGTTAGAGAGCCATATTCATACTATTATTAGTATTCAATAGAAAATTTATACTCCATCACATCGAATTAAAACAGATTCGGGGTTAGAATTCAATGTTTAGGACGTTAACAANTAGAGCTGTACACCGCTTTAATTAATTTCAATTCTAGTTAAAATTAGTAAGGTTGAGGCCAAAATAAAGTACACTGTGCCAAAACAAAGATTTCAGCTTTCCTCCAAAAAATAGAAACTTATTGAAACTACTACTGAAATTCATCACAAGACAAAGATGGCTACCGATGAAATTTTCTGTTTCTTTAAACAAACGTTATACTAATTTTAAAAATAAATATTTAATTTCACTACAGAAATAATTACGAATTGTTTACTTTACAATTATATGACCTGGATTAGTTTTCTTGTAGTAATTCAATTCCTTAAGTGTCATTCCCGGAATCACTTCAAGTCATAAACCACGTAAAATAAACATAATATTAAAGGGCATCTATAAATACCTGAAGAGTTTATCTTTTTAATAATCTCTTACACGAAAAAAGAATTTTTAAATGAGTAATCGCCAAAGATGGACGAAGGACGAATCCAAATTTGCATAACACACCGAGCATGGATTCAATTTCTCTATCGTCGTTGATATTCTACACTTGTTCGAGCTGACCATCGAGATGGATTCAATATATTAATCCATCCTCAATGAAAATCCCCGATGAGTATCATATTTTCACTTCAAATTGCAGCATACTTTATCCTCTTTCATTTTAATTTATATAACCTATGAGTTATTAACTACTGCAGTGTTTGAAACTTGTTACTTTTAAACTATTCTTACAAATAACAGAATTAAATAATACATAACAATGAAAAATCAATCAAAATGCATTGCAGTATGCAAATTTCAAAGGTCTTATGCTAAAAATAAAAGAAAAAACATGGCCTAAGTATGTACTTCAAATTTCATACTGTAATTTACATAATTCTTAAAAATCAATCAAGTAAATGCTTTTTTTCAGTAAATTTTTGAAATTAATAGACTGTTTTACTCAAACTTATCAGTCTTTTCCCTAAAATCAAAATAGAATATTTTGGAAAAATCTAGTGCCACTTATAGAATACATTAATTTTTAATATTCTGGAATAGCTGTAAGAAACAGTACATATGGTCCCAAAAAGAAATGCAAAAGCTTTTATGAGACACAAGATTTCTCTCATTTTTAGTAAAATTATACCTATTTATTTTATTATAAGCATTTGTTTTCATATTACATACTGTTTGTAGAAAAATGTATTGTTCATTTGTTATGTTCCTATTATTGATTACATTGACAGGAAAACTGCATGAATATTGAAGCAGCTCTAAAGAAGGGGCAAGGCAAAGTTTGCACACATTCTAGAACAATTTAAAAAACAAAACATTTTAATATGTTAAAAATCAAGAAACCAAATTTTCTCTATTTACTAATATTTTGTCCATTTTATAATCATCCACAGCTTGCAGCAATACAAACAAGTAATAAATTAATTTTAAATTTAATATCATATGTATCTATTACATGGTAAAGATGGCATTGAAATATATGAAAACGTTCAATAAAAAAATAAGTTTTGTTTCTGAGTTTTGGTCTTTTAAATCACAACACATTTCCAAGTTTCACAAATTTTCATATTTAAATAGTTCAAAAATACTAACTTCCTTATTTTAATATTTAAAAATATTACAAATTGAAGCTAAATACAAATAAAAAATTTGATGTCTTCACACATCCTTCACAATCACAGGAACACAACATTAGCAGAGTTGATCTTTCCTTTGACGCTCTTCTCTGCTTACGTAAATTTATAAGAATATGTAAAGCTTCAAATATGTAAATTGATTAAAAGTCAATTTACATATTCAAGCTTCAAAGGAAAAGCCAACTCTGTTCATGTTGTGTTCCCATTGTTGTGAAGGATGTATGAAGAGATCAAATTTTTTATTTGTATTTATTCTTAAATTTTTAATATTTTAAAATTATACAAAATTTATGAATTTTTAATTAAAATTTTTACAATTACTCAAAACATAAGTGTATTTGGAAACAGTTTGGAATATCTCATACATAGTATTGCTTACAAATAAAACTTAAATTTAAAAGCTGAATTAAATGTGTGAAAGTAATATTAGACACCTCAGAAGTAAAACAGATATTTAGTTTTATATTTACACAATTAAAGATATTTGTTATCATAAAACTGTTCTGATGAAATTAAAAACAAAATAATATCTAGATAAATACCAAGTAACACAAAAATCTTATTTATAATTAACTTAAGTACTATTCCTCTACTATCTTAATTAATTTTAAGTTTAAGGGATTGATTTTGTATAAATCTCAATGGTTATTCTAACACTTCTCACTTTATTTGCATCACCAAAATTATTAAATTATGAATTTTGTAAAGTTTTCAGTAGTGTGTGTATGCAAATGATAATTATAAAGCTGTCAAGTTCAAATGCATTAGCTGTGTTGGTTACCTATGATCATGGAACTATTGTATTATAAAATCAACAAAAAACTGGGTATACTTATAAATGAAAAAATGGAAATTGACTTAGTTCATCTTGTTAATTGTTGTATTATAAGTTATTGGAATGTTTTCCCCCTTTTGCAAAGTTCTTTTTCTCTACTAATCAGGATAATTAAAACAAACTATATTTTTAAATTCAATAACTATTCTTAATTCGTTTTGCCACTGCTTTACATATAGTTCATAACTGACAAACAGCTCATTTAACCCCCCTTTTTAAACAAAGTTTAATGCTGTGTGTTTAATCTCACAAAGCATTTAGCTAGAATTTACAAATAGAGTACTAATGAATTGAATTAGTAAATTTAGTAAATTAATATTAAGAGAACACTTTCATACATAATATTTCTATCTCTTAAGTGACTAAATCACAAAGCTTATTATTATGGGCTGTCATAATTTTCATATTTTATAGTCACACGAAGATTTTACTTTAACTTAAATATATAGAAATACTAGCTGTTACCCGCAACTTTGCCCATAGAGGTTTTGCAAGTAAACCCCATTTATATTCAGTATTTCAACAACCATAGTAATTGTTATATAACACCTACCACTGAGAATCAAACGAACTATTTTCAATTTGATGAATTTTCTGGAACGTTTACAATAGTTCTATAATCGAACCGATATTCAATAACAAATTCAAATTTAAAACGGTTCGAACATTTGGTTAAAAAATCAAAATATATAAAAATATTTATAACAATGTCTGAAATGTTATCAATTTAATACACCTAAGTACTCAATGAAGACTGAACGTAGTTGAAAACAAAAAATCGCATCTAAAATAGTACACTAGAAGCTGTTCTTCTGGTTAAGCCTTAATGCTCTCCCTCTCCCCTCCCGTGGGGGAATTTTGAAAAATCCCTTCTTAGTGTGCATTTTCACGACGTACTCTAACTGTGTACCAAATTTTACCTCTTTAGGTTCAGCGGTTTGCTCTGGGCAATGATGAATCAGTGACTCAGTCAGTCAGGACAAATAATTTTATATATTTAGATTTTGTAAACACAAAATTATAAATATTTTTTTCAACACTACAATGCATTGTTAATTGTCTAAGATGTGTCAATTTGTCTTTATTAAAACCACAAAAATAATATATTTATAAAAGTAGGAATAACTCCAACTAGATTTCTTCGTATTTATTAAAATGGAAAAATGAATACTTTTAGAATAAGAGAAGTAATAAGTAACTTTACATAACAAAAACAGGCAATATTGAAAAGTATTGATATGTTTTTTCCTCACTTAAACTATAAGATATCATTTGTACAATGCTGTGTGTGTAATTTTATCTAAACAAAGAGACCAATATGTAGTTTAAGAGGAGATAAAATCTTACTTTTAACTAAATCCTTAAATTCTGTTAAAAAATGAACATGGTTTAAAAATGCTTAAATTTATAAGAAAAAGAATTATTCTTATAATAAATTTGATACATAAAAAGAATTTCATACCAGGAGCTCGTCGATAAGATTCTCTATCTGCTGCAGACTTCTGTACTTGTTCAGTTGGTGCTAAAACAAAAAATAAGTGAAAAGCATAATGATATTAATATTAAAAAATTTGAAAAACTTAAAATTAATAGCTTTGATAAGTTCATAGCCTATTGTAAATTAACTTACTTGTCACTTTACAATATATATATAATAGTCAAACCTTGTGTTTAATTGTTATCTTAAAGATCACAATTAGTTTTACACAATTTTGCCATTAATGTTATTATATAACAATATATACTGCCAGATTTTTAAATCAGGCTTTGATAAGTCAAATTATAAAGATTTGTAATTTGGACTAAACAAAGATGGTTAATCCATCATCATTTATTTAAAATTTAATAATTAGAAATAAACAAATTTACTATACATTGAGCTTAGTATTATATGTAATTATATTATAATGGCACACAATGCAATAAAAAATATTTGAATAGATGAATTTTTTTATTCTGTATTCTACTTGTTACAATGAAGTTTACCTTATATAAAAAATTCCACACCTCAATATATTATATACTTATATTTATTTCTAATTTACTTTGTGTACACTATAATTGTTCTTTTCATAAATTTCATTATAATGTATTTTTTTGATGAAAGAACACTTCAGGATGCCTTATTACAGAAAAACACGGGTCATAAAATGTTTTATAAATACTATTAACAAATTAACAGTATCATCAAAATTAAAATTAATATATATATATATATATATCTCAATGAAAATTACTTTTAAGATCCTTATATTTGCCAACTAGACTAAAGTACAGATAACATTTGAACATGCAGTTGTTATATATTACTGCTATTACATCAGTTCATTAGCAAATGTAAATGCTTATAATAATTCACTGTTAAACAATTTTTAAATTAAAGTATTATGAATGACAATCATTAAATGAATGTTCTCTGAATAAATAGGAAAGTGATTATTATAATATTCATTTATTTATTTACAAATTATAAGTAAAACAAGAGTATAATTTTGAAATATTAAACCACTTAAAATTTTTCTATTCTTCTTAATTATTTTTAAATTATTAAAAATCACATACCTCTTAATCTTTGTCTTCCTGCTTCAGGTCTAGTTTGCCTCTTTAATGTTGATGGAACAATTTCAGGAGGCAAATGAAGAAAATCTCTAAGATACTGGATCCCTTCATTTGTTAGATACCAATAATAATGACGCCAAGCAAATTGCTCTTTGACCAAACCTCTCGATTTTAAAGATTGAAGAGCTTTAATAACATGCAGATTAGGAACATTTTCTAAATCTGGATGTTTTGCTGCATGAAAATCTTTTTTCGCTACCAACACGCCTTCTTTGAACAAATATTCATACACAGCAACACGATCTTTTTTTGGCATCAACATTTTAAACTTTATATGATCTTGAAGTACAAGATAATAAATCTGAAATAAAACAATTTTATGTAAAATATATATGATATGAGAATACATTTTCTTTAATAAAAAAGATTATTAACACAAAAAAACATATACAACTGTCCCTTGATAATCAGACAGGTACGGGACCAAAGGGGTGTCGGATTACCAAAAGTGATTACATATTTGGCATTGTTTCGCTAGCAGTAGCCTACAATATTCCCTACTCCAACTGTTCGAACAGAACTGCTCACAGAAAACACATGAAATGTGTGTCATTGTGTAAGAATTGGGTGGGGAGATTCATGTCACGACATGCCTCTGTGCAAGCAGACACGTAATGGGGACAGGTACCTTGATGGGAAGTGCATTGGACTACTGAGCATGTCGGATTACAAAACATCAGACTATCAAGGGACAGCTGTACAAGAATTAATGCTGAAATTAATAGTTATATATTATTTTTATTTTATTTTAATTATAGTACAGTCGACCCCCCTATAACGTGCGTTCCTATAACGACAATTCCTATAACGTAGCGAAAAAATTGTAGCAACATTCTTATAAAGTACCTCCTATAACGTCATTTCGCGACAAGATTGATAGAATCTGGACCAATAGTGGATGAGCAGCCGAACTACTTTCCTTTGACCCTGCGCCACGCTACGGAGCGGCTAAATTGAGTTTGCTATCATCTGTACAGTATTATATATAAATTAGGTACTATACATATAATTATATATTAATTATATATAAATTAGGTACTGTATATATAATTATATATTAACTTAATTTATTGTAACTTTATTATAATTATATACATGCTTTCTGCCGCCTGGCAACACGCTACCGAGATTTTAGGCTAGTAAGTTGAGTTTATTATCGTCTGTACAGTATGTAAATTAGGTACCGTAAGTCTAATACAGCACTAATTTTATACATTTCTTGTGAAAGAAACACTTCTTATTCAACGGCCATAAAAATTATTTATATTAATGATGTCTCCAAAGGTCAAGTTATTTTTCTGCGAAAAATTCGTTATCAGAAATCGCGGCCGCCGTTTCGTGTGCTGTTCCGCGACGAAGACAAGCTTTGAACAACAGGCGTAGTCGAACGGTACACACTCGGTAAGTAATCCTATAATTTTTTGTTTATAGCATAGTTTATACAGATTATTCCCAAAAAATTATACGTGTTTTGGAAATGTTGAGTGGAATTAGTCTAGAATCGGTTAATTTTATAGAAGAAAACCTTTCAAACAACCTTAGTCCGTAAAGTTCACACCTATCGGGCTGCGATTGGCTCATGTATTTAATCATTCCTACAAAGTAAAATTCGATTAGCGTGGAACGTATCTAAGCGTTATAGGGGGTCTACTGTACATTTTTGTTATTAACTTTATACTACTAAGACTGCCATTCAAAGAGACTTGGGGCCATATTCTGATCATCGTCTCTCGTAAGCCGGTCGCTGATTGGCTAATCATTTGTTTACATCTTGAGAGATCATCGCATCTCTCTAAATGCGATTCTGAACAACTTTTTCTCTCTTTGCTTCTCTCATTTATCAGAGACAAGCGGATAGTTGTCTTTTGACCAGTCTATTGTCTTTTGCCTCAATTTCATTATATTCAATATGGATGACTGAATGCTACTCGCTCTGTACAATCGTAATAGAGAAGGTTCTCTACTCGGAAAAGAATATTTCCGGAGAAAAAATGCTTCTGATTTTTTCCAATGCCTACTCAGAATAATCACTGATTCCATTTTTTTTTTTAAATTATCCTACATCAACTACTGAACCATCAAATATGATGTTATTCTTACTTAGATAGTTAAGGAGAAATTAGATGGTAATATTTCAAAAAATATCTAAGTATGCACGCTTTTCTAACTTAGGTTATTAAAATTTTTATTTGTTAAAAGACAATTCGACATTACAATCTGTAAAAATGTAAAGACACCGATTGGGGGGGGATTTTATTCCCTACCATCGGGATGGTCTAGGGTCTAAGAGTATGTGGGTGGCGGTTTTGAGAGGCAGCAAAAGACAAGTGTTTTACAGAGACAAACCATTTATTCTTGATCGAAATTTCTTACATATTTTTAGAAAAAGGTCCTTTGATTCAAAACTTGAAGATGTCTTCAGTCCTATCGATTGGATGACTGATGTTTTTCTTTGGTAAAGCTGGAGAGGAGCCCCGGGGCAATGGCAAGTTAAAGTTCGGAGGCGAACAGTCACAAGTTAATGCCGATCAGAAGCACCAAGGGAGGACAACGAACACAACAGGTGTCTGGTGAAAGTCTTAGTAGAAGCCTCATTGTCCTTGGAATTGGTGTTTTTATAAGTTTTTCGAGATCAACTTTTTGCTAATTGGACAGACTTTACATCATTGCTTTCTAATTGGTCTTCCACTCGTCTCCAGGTGTAAATGGAGCTTTGTAAAGTTCGCGGGAAAGGTCGGCTGGAAATGGCCTATCCGACACCATCTTTTAGAGTCTAAAAGATGGTGATTCTCAAACTTTTTCGATCCACCGCCCCCTTTGTTCCATAAAGTTATACCCAACGCCCCCTAAAAGGATTGGAAATATTCTTAGGAAAACTTTTCTATGAATTTCACACTTTGTGCCCTTACTGTACATTGTTCTCATCATCTGGAAACCATTAAACGCAATGTTTCCTCTTATTAGCCCCAATTTTGCTTTGGTCACCGTTCAATACCATGCCTCTATCATAGATCTATTCATCGCGCCAGAAGGGGCGTTAATGCTTACTTTGAGAAATGCTGAGCTAAAATAAAAGTCAATATGTTAGAAATATTCAAGTTGTGACCTTCAATAAAAAATATATAAAATGTCAACATTTCATATATATTCAGTCAAATTTTTATATATAGAATTTGTCTGCCGTCGCCCCTCTATATTTCCTTAACGCCCCCCCAATTCTCTTTGAGCCTTCTACTGCCCCCTGAAAGCCTCCAGCGCCCACAAGGGGGCGTTATCGCCCACTTTGAGAAATGCTGTTTTAGACTCTGATTGCGTTTAATAGTTGACTATGACACTTACACTCATTTTGATATTTTTTCTAGTTTCATTTTGCTTTCTAAACTGCGTCTTAACTTTAATATTTTAAATTTTCTTTTTCTATATCTAAAATTTTGTTTTTCCTTCTACTCTTTATGAGCGCTGACGTCAAAGTCCGGTGTCACCGATTCGACACTTATATAATTTGTTTTCTTGACGGTTTAACTTAACAAACTTTTACATATATTTCTTTTTTTTTGGGGGGGCTATTTCCGGGGCCTCACAAAAAACGTTATAAAACAAAAAACAGATTCGTCAAAATTATGTGCTTTATTTGAACACGTGCTTTTCTTGCCACGTAATCTATGATTACGTACTCTGCATTTTCAAAAATTTTACAATTTCGTCGGTTAAAATCCTATACTGTGTTGCATGCACAGATAACCCGAACATGTATAATGAAGCGAATAGAATCGTGATGTCAACAACAAAGTCAAGATCATTACGAACGGTCAGGATTGCCACTGTGTATGAGAGACGAATTTTGTCTCTCGCTTTGACGTCATTCATCGGTAAAGAAGAGACAACAGATAAGTGGTCAGAATATGGCCCCTGGAATTCTGACATCAGTTGTCCTCCTGGATGACGTGAAACCACATAGCAGCTGCAACAGTCAACTTCCTTGCCATCTTTGTTTTGGAGTATCTGAACACCCACTGTACAATCACAACATGGCACCCAGCAACTTCCAATTCTTCCCTGCTTTAAAGAAGGTGCTGGAAGGAAAATGTTTCACTGCCAATGCAAAGTTGAAGCTGCCATACACACATTTGTCTGTGAATGCAACATGGACAAATGTGCATACAGCATATAATATGCTCATTTTTGGACCCATTTTGCTATTGGTATCAAATACACCTGGACCTTTCCATCATGTCTTGTTTTTCGTTTCCAATGTAAAATCATGTTAACATTGGCAGAAATGGCCTTAGATAAAGAAAAAGAAGTTATTTTAAAGAAAGTTGTTCTATTGGAAGAAATAAGGAAAGGAGAGAGCATTATAATAACAGAGAAATTATGGATTTCTTTTAGAATAAGAGAAGTAATAAGTAACTTTTCATATCAAAAACAGGCATGCTATATTCTTTCATTCACAATCCTATATTCGCCATATTGTTCACACAGTTACTTTTTAAATTGAAACATTTTCGGGTTAATGTCCAGATACGTGGACCGTCAAGCCGGATGCACACATGCGGCGCGGCAAGGAAAAGCGGCAGAATGACGTCACTTTTTCTCGCCACAGAAGTCGATTTTGTGCCGCTTTCCTCGTGCCGCAAAAGTTGGTTGAATTCTATCTTTTGCGGCAACGCCGCCAAGACGCGTTTCTATCAGCCAATAACAGTTTGTCTCGTAGTCACGTGAGAAAATACAATCACGTGGTGTTTTAATGGCGGAAAGTTCGAGGCGGTTAACCGAGATAACTAAAATCAGAATAAAGAGGAAAGGATAACAAATTTAAAACAAATTCTACACAAATAATCATATATAATTTAATTCAAAGAACAAAACAACCGAATCTTACTCGAAATAGTATTCTTTATCGAGAGATCTTGATCCACGAATAAGTCTATTTTGTACACCAGTTCTTTCTCGATCCAAAAAAGTATCTCTAATTCAAATCTTCGACAAAATCTTTTAGCTAAATAAAGCGAGTCATACAAAACAAAATTTGTAAACACGTGGATAGGGACAGTGTGTAAACACGTGGATATCGTTCGCCATCTTGAATACTGAACGCATGCGCCGAAATGTAAGCGGATTGCCGCTTGTGTGGTTGTGCTGCNGTCATGGCGCCTCATCGCTGATTCCAGCAAAGAAAAGGAAACAGTAGGGACGCACGTTCTAACCTAACCTAGCCTAACCTATTCTAATAATATAATTAGCATAATTATTACCAATAATATAATTGGTAATAATTATGCTAATTTATTAGAATAGGTTAGGTTAGGTTAGAACGTGCGTCGGCAGTTGCTGCGCCGCGGCAGCGTCGGCGGCTGTCATGGCGCCTCATCGCTGATCCCAAAGCAAAGAAAAGGACAGTGGGGACGCACGTTCTAAGCTAACCTAACCTATTCTAATAATATAATTGGTAATAATTATGCTAATTTATTAGAATAGGTTAGGTTAGGTTAGAACGTGCGTCGGTGCGTCACGTGACACGTCTGCAAACCGTCTGGTTTCGAGGCTGAAACGAAGTGCCGCCATGACGGTCCACGTATCTGGACATTAACCCATTTTCGTACTCTTCCATATATGAAGCAAATTTCATCCAGCGATATCAATATCAATTCGAAACAATATAAATATGTTAAAAGTAGTTAATAAAATTGTAATTATATTCAGGATTCGAATTTTCATGTTTTCACGTGTCATTTACTCCTCGTCTCTTTTTCTTAATTGAATCATGAAACACATTATTGTGAGACGATTTTAAAACTTTAAGGATAACTTACAAACTAAAAAATTAAATCAAGAAATTATCAGCACGTGGTTCCCTTTTTCTGCCACGTTGAAATTAGGCTTAATCACAACTTTATAATTTCGTTACTACTTCTCAGTTTTACTTATATATTCATTTATTTCAACGTGTAAATTTAATTAAAGCGCAAATAAAAAATTTTGATTACATTAAATTAAAAATTTAAGATAAATCAAATAATAAAAATTAACAAAAGAAATTACATACCAATCTCACTTCTCACGGAAACTAACAGAAAAGGGAATTAACAGTGTTGCCAGTGGTCTGCAATACCCGATTCTAGCGTAGCGAATTTCCGCCCAATTCCCGAAGTTCTATTCATGGAAATCCATGTAAATCCAGAAATCTGTAAATTATTCTGCCATGTTTTATAGTAAATAATATATAATATATTTTTTAAAATCATTAAATATTTATTTTACTTTTACAGTTAAAATTAGATTGGTTTCCATACCATAAAAGCAATGCTGATTACAAAACAAAACTGTAACTTACAATGATATAATAATTTTATAATAAAAATGAGAGACCTGACCTTATTAAACAGAATAACTTCATCTGAAAAGTTTGCTTAGTTTGATGTTATAAAACCTTTAATATTGACCTAATTATTAAGTTTAAAATCATATTGTAATAAAAATAAGTTTTTTTTTTCATCATTAGATTTTCGAAAAAAATCTTTTTGAGAAATTTATGTATTCTTTTTACGCCGCCAAATTAATATTACAAATAAAGTACTAACGAATTGTTAATAATGATCAGCTATATTTCTTGATGGAATTTTAATAAGAGAGGACCTGTATTTATCAGCTGCAGTTTCTCCTCGTTTTTGCATCAAGAAATGATTGGTTTACTTTTTAAGCATGTCCCTAAGAGGTTGTGTATAAATTACGACCAAATTTTTCTTAAAATTTTAACTCCCCTCCCCCATTATCTAAGTTTGTTCAAGTTTCCGTAACCCTTTCTCTCTTCGGATGTCTAACACATGTCAACCACCCTCAAAACCTTTATGTATTTTATTATAAAGTGATAAACTGAGTAAAATTTAATGAAATAAAACGGACATTTATTGAAGTTCAACTTCTTCCCTCCTCCTTGTCCGACTTATCATTACCCGCTCTCTCCCTTCTAATGTGGACGTCGTTTATGGACAACCCCTTATAGGCCCACAATGGAGCGGCCGAATGGCGAGGACATATTCATACAAACCACTACCAGAAAAATTTCTAGAATTTTTCGACCCATCTGGATTCGATTCAAGGTCCTTCAGAACGGTCAGCTGACACCTTAACAGCTTGGCCATTCGGCCACCCATCTGGAAAGACAGTAGATAAAAAAGAAGCTGTGCCTAAAGCCCTAAACGCTCATTTGTTAGTAATAAATTTAATATGAAATTTAATTTGTTTTTTTTTTTTCATATTCTCTTGCGTGCTTCCTTGTTTTCCCATGAAAGAAAGATACCGTACATTTCATAACAAATATTTCCGCAATCGAAGAAAATAGATTTTGCATAATATTTAATTTTGAAAAAGGGAAGCCGAAAATAGAGATTTTATTATTCCTGTTGTTCATTTCACAAAGCATGTAAATGTAAGTCAAATTACTGGAGTATCGTTGTCAACAATTAAAAACATTCGCCGAAAAGCTGGCAGTGAAAATGAGCAAAATTTTACTTTTTCGATAAAGCGTTCAAAGAAAGATATTCTGGAAACAACGGCATTAGATGACTTTGATTATGAGAAAAACAATCCATAGTTTTTACGTCGGAGAGAAAAAAGTCTCATCAATTCTCAAATTACAGCCCCTCTTAAAAAAAAAAAAAGTAAATTTTCCGTGGAAGAAAAAGACGTATCACATAAAGTATCAATATTTTTCTTCTTCCGAAACAGTGCTTCTACACCTAAATATTGTTTTCCGTATTTGAAAAAGATTACCCTTACAAATAGATCAGTCTTCATTGAGTACTTAAAGTGTTGTTAAGTTATGGCAACGCAACACATGGCCGATCTGCCTAGGGGATCCTTCCGGGAGGTCTTTTTAAGAAAATAAGGAAAACTGGCCCCTATTTAGGCGTTACAGACGTGGAGAAAACCCGGAAAACTCCACGTGGCCAGCACGTCCGAGCGAACACATGACCGAATTTCTAATGTTTAGGGAACAAAGACCGCTTGGCCACTGCTGAGCCGAGAGTACTTAGATGTATTAAATTGATAACATTTCAGACATGGTTATAAATATTTTAATATATTTCGATTTTTTAACCAAATGTCCGAACCGTTTTAAATTCGAATTTGGTACGATTATAGAACGATTGTAAACGTTCCAGAAAATTGATCAAATTGAAAATAGTTCGTTTGATTCTCGGCAATTCTCATCATTCTCAGCGGTAGGTGTTATATAACAATTACTATGGTTGTTGAAATACTGAATATAAATGGGGTTTGCTTTCAAAACCCGCGCGGGCGAAGTCGCGGGTAACAACTAGTACCGATATATGATCAGTAAGACGACCTCGTTTCCGCTCTGACCTCCGAAATACTTAGGGATAGTTCATATACTTTTCTTGTGTAGCAAAATCATTTTGAAGGTACAAAAAAGCTGTTAAACCGATTCAATTTTTCGGCTGCCCTAATTCAATTTCTGGTTTCCAAGAACAGTAGGCTGACGCCTTAACCGCCTCGGCCAGCCGCCCGGCCATTTATATGTTCAGAGACACTGACTTAGAAATGATGAATCTCATTCGAATGATTTTTTAATACAAAGTTTCATTTACAAAATTTTATTTATAGATTTTGTGCTATTACTTATTCTTTCAAAAATTTCAAATTTAAGCTAATTAATTCGTAAGATGTTTTGTATAGTGCAATTAATTGTAATTGATATCTATTATTAGTACAGTAAGAAAGAATATATTTAAAAAATTATAATTTTAATAAAATTTCATAATTGAGAAAAAAAACGTGTTATTTCCGAATTTTTGAAAATAAAAAAATATTTGGTATGAAAAATATTATGGGAATCGGAGAGAGGGCGCTTTTACTATTCGTTGCCGTTATTATAGGTAACAAGGGGATTATCGTTTGACGTCCAGTTTGATTAATAATTTTCGTAATTTTTCGCATAGAACTTAAACGTTATAATATTAACTAATTTAATTCGTCATCATGTTAATTAAGGTGAAGGTAAGTATTTTATGAAAGAATGAAATAGAAAATTGCTTGGCGTTATATAAAATTATTAAATTTCTTATGTATTTTGACTTCTTAAATAAATAAAAATGAGTTCAAATTATTCATTTGAGTTGCAATTTGAAAAAACTTCCTGATATAAATGATAGTGATTTCAAAATTTCCTAGCTGATGATTTTTCTGAGTTAACTTATTCTGAATTTTCAGTTAAGTGATTGAATAAATTAAGATATCTTCTTACTGAATTACTGGAACGAGTCACACACAATCGAAAACCTTTAAAGTCCAGTAACACAAACATTTTTTAATGAAAACGAACATTTTCAACCGTACCTATGGTCTGCATCAGGTTTTTAACCAGTAGGATTCCAAAATGAAATGCATAGAACAAAATTATTTGAAAAATTATTTTTTTTTAAAAATTTGGAATAACACCAAATGTATATAGAAGAATTTTAATAGTAGATATTACAAAAATCATAAAAATATAACTACCCCATATACAGTGGTGCCTTGTATAATGTATGCCTCGAATAATAGATGCTGTGAACAACGGACTTTCTGCGAACAAATGCGAATGTTTCCATTCTTTTGCCGTTGCCAATGATAATCTGCTATTTTTGTAATATATTAGTATTATTAGAATATATTATTAGTATGAAGTACAGAGCTCCCGTTGTGATTCAGCTTGCTCCCTTGTTTATTATGTACATCACCTTAGTGCAGGGTATTTACATTTATTCAAGGGTTGTGCAAATCGTAGCTTCTAAAAAAACAAAAAGGTGATTTCAATTGAAACAAAGCAAGAAATCATCAGGAGTGAAAGTTGACAAAAACTTCCTTGTCAAATGGGGAGAGGTTCAGGAGTTTACTAACACTCATTATCCAAACAGAGCTGAGGCCAACAGGATCAATGATCTCTACAATGACACCCTTGCCCGTCATTTCCGACAGGTGTTGAAGAAGAGAGAGAAACAGACCACCTTGGACATGTTTTTCAAGAAGCCAGCTGACAAAAAACAAAGGATGGAACAAGAGGAGTTGACCTTGCAAGCTCTGGTAGCCTCTCCTGAATCTGACTCCGATTAAAAAACAATAAAGAGACCTGCTGCAATATGTAAAAAGTCTGTATCTGTATGAATGTGTGAAAAAAGTGTTCCTCCACCTCCTCACAGCATCTGACTACTCGGCATAATTGGTGACTGCTCCATTTTCATTTTTTTATGGTACGGTTATTTTTATGCTGCAGAACGAGTTATATGTTTTAACATGTATTTCTATGGGAAAATGTGTTTCGTATAACGGACTTTTCACTTAATGGATATGCACCCGGAACGAATTAAGTACGTTATATGAGGCACCACTGTATAATAATTTTTAGGATGTAAATAATAGCTCAGATAAAACAACTATATGCCAGTGTTGTTCAGTTTTTCATAAATGCACTTTCATGCATAGAATACAGTGTTGTCATCTTTAGAGTTAATACATTTGCCGGTTAGGCCAGTCTTGTAGATTTCCAAGGCCTCCAGGTTCCGAATATGATCAATATGTAGGACTGCCTAATTAACTTGGCGTTATGGAGGTTGGCACTCATGTCAGGGTCATTTTTACATTTAGTGGAGCACTCCCTCTGACCTGTAGCATTAAATGCTACTGGCTTGAGGTACTCCTCTCTTAATTAACCTGCTTCGCATATGCTTTGCATGTAAACCCCCATGTCAGGGTCAGTAGTGTACGTCAACAGAGTGGTGGCATGCATTTTGTTTGTAATATCATATTGATGCTCTTTCATGGTTTATGCATACATCTCAGGCCAAGGCATGGAAATTAAACAGAGCAGTGGTTGTCTCACCAGACACACCTAGGTAATTGTGTTTTGCAAAAATGCATAAGCCAATGCTTTTCCTTATACCCATTCTAAATAAAGCTAGGTTTCCAACTAGGATGCTACAGAACACTGTACACAACATTGTATCGGAACTTTTGAAGGGTTATGCTTTAACTGTCAAGAACTCCATCGATCTGATTGATATCTTACAGCAGGTAGAGGTAACTGATGAGGCACATACTACCATATTTAATTTCATTTCCCTATACCCCCCAGTAAAGCTACAACCGAGCATCTGTGCTCTTAGGAATCTTTTACTAAGTGGCTTCAGTGCACATGCACAACGTACACAGATATTGGAACTTGCACATCTTGTGTGTTATACTTTTGTGCCGCTTTTGTAGTTTACTCCAACTTAGGCCATGAGCTTCACAACACTTGCTTCCATCTGGGTTCACACTGCTCAATAGCACAGGAGGAAACTTTAGCTTAATCTATTCCATGTTGAAATTTTTCTCCATTGTGTGTGGTCACCATGTTGAATTTTTGTCGATGTTAAGCCTAACGAAAAAATTTTTTTTTTAAAACATTAATCATGGCTACTGTATAGTTAAAAATTATTTTTTTATTTTGCACAAACAAAATAAATATATTGAAAAATATAGAAACAAAAAAAAATTATATTTTGAAAGTTCATTTTAATATAAAAATTATGATGCATAGGGATATGTAATATCAAAAACATACTGATACTGTAACAAGATATATTGGGTTTAACCCTGCGGGTCAAAGGTCACGACCCCAATATATGTTGGGAATAACACAGGTGAAGATAATTCACATTAGGCTACAGCAATTCTTTATCACTTTTACCCTAGTTACACCCTCACTCAGCTACTTACAAGATACAGTAACTTTAAGCAATACTTACATAGATTTAACATTGGGACAATCCACAATGTGATTGTGGTATTCAGGAGGACCAAACACCACATCAGTTAGTTTTTTGCTGCAATAGGTACAATCACATTAGGGATAGTTTAATGAGAGCTGCTATTCTTGAAGAGTACAACTGGCTTTGCAACCCGCTCTAACTCATTCACATATGTACAATGTTCTATCATTTACTTGCATTCATATCCCTTAGTGCAGGCATGGCCAACATATGGCCCATGATCAATCTTTCAATAATAGGTACTGAAGCCGGAATAGCTCGATGAAAAATTCTGATGTAAAAAAAAAAGGTCAACAACTCACTGTGTGTTTAGAGTTAACCCTCCATTACAAATCTTAAATACTGCATAGTGTGTTGATAAAGCATGATAATGTGAAAAATGTATCTGTAATCTCTAATTACAATTCAGTCTCTAAAGGGTGACACCACAATTAGATCTCGCACCACCTCAAAATCTTCCTAGGGCAGCCTCTTGGTTCGGCCTGCAGAAAAAGTTTTCTTTCTAATTTGGCCTGGGGGCAAAAACTGTTGGCCACCCCTTCCATAGTGGTACTCTTGAGAGCACTTACTCCAGGAGCATGGATGGCAGTTAGCTTTCCCTTGCTTGGTTTCAACTGTCAGTATATATCTGCCTTTCAACTTTATATTTTAATCCTTATTTTCTGTCTTCTTTTTCAGTCTAAATTTGGTTAGTCATAGTTTAAGTTAGATTAGGGACTCTTAGCTTGGTTTCTGGTTAGATTATGATAGGTTAAATTAGATTAGGGTTTGTTAGCTTAAGTCGTCTGGTTAGGTTTGTCCTGGGTTATGGTAGGTTAGTTTAGTTAGTGAATAAGTTAACATTTAAAAATAATTTTGGGGTCTTGCTTGTTCGACTCTGTTGGTCCGTTTGTCTCATCTAGTTTGTCATTGTGTTTGTTTGCTTTTTGTGCTGATCTGTCTAGCTGTTAAATAGTATTAAGATTTGCAATCGCATTCAGTTTTATTAGTATTAAGTAGATATAAGTCTTCCTACTAACAGCCACTTGGCACTAACTTCTACACTTAGCTGTTTGTGGCGGCACTCAATTATTGGTATTTGCTACACTCGGGTTTTTTTAGACCCTTCGGGGGACTAAGATTTTGCAGTCTAAAAAGTGCACATCAACATCAAACATAGAGGGTACTGTAGCCTTATGTATGCTGTTCAGAGGGATCCTACCTTTCTCTACTATCTCCTCTCCCTTTCTTCCCCCCTTTCCCTTACCCTCTTTTCTGCCGGCTAAACACCTCGTATACAGCCAAAGTCTTTCTTGTATGTATGTGTTGTATCTTCGTCTTCCAACTTAATAACAGCACATATTTACAAAAATGGGAGGCCCCGAGAGGGGGTGTACCCATGGGCAGCCCCCACTCAGGTGAGTTGGTGCTCCGGCAGTTGGAGGAAAAATTCATACCTCAGTTCTTATCAAACATTGTTGTTTACAAGAGGTATATAGATGACCTGTTTATTCTCTGAAAGACTAAGCTGAACGTTAACGAGTTTTTAAACTCTATCAATAACAACCCTTACAGTCTAACCCTTAAGCTAGATCAGATAAGTAGCACCTAGTGCTCATTTCCTGGATATCAGCATTTGCCTCAACAGGGGCTATGTAGAAACAGGCATTTATTACAAACCATGCTACTTATTCATTCCAGCAAACTGTAGACCCTTTTTCATATAAGGTCACCACCGCCTTCCATGCTTTGACTAGATGGGCCTATTAATTGGGATTATGCTTTAGCAGAGCTAATTGTATTGAAGACTAGCGGTAAAACATGGGTATAGAAGAGACCTGATACTTAATTAGGCAGTCCTACATATTGATCATATTCGGAACCTGGAGACCTTGGAAATTTACAAGACTAGCCTAATCGGCAAATGTATTAATTCTAAAGATGGCAACACTGTATCCTATGCATGGAAGTGCATTTATGAGAAACTGAGCAACACTGGCATATATGTAGTTGTTTTATCTGAGCCATTATTTATATCCTAAAAATTATTATATATGGGGTAGTTATATTTTTATGATTTTTGTAATTTCTACTATTAAAATTCTTCTATATACGTTTGGTGTTATTCCAAATTTAAAAAAAAAAAAAAATTTTTCAAATAATTTTGTTCTATGCATTCCATTTTGGAATCTTACTGGTTAAAAACCTGATGCAGACCATGGGCACAGTTGAAAATGTTCGTTTTCATTAAAAAAATTTTGTGTTACTGGACTTTAAAGGGTCTCGATTGTGTGTGATTGAATAAAGTTGTAACAATAAAATATTTGCAGTCAGGAAATTTACACATATTCATTATTATGTTAAGTTTTAGATGACAGAGGTATATAACTTTTTGAATGTGTCCTTTGGGTAGAAGTTACTTTTATACATCATCTATATATATAAAAATGAATGTATGTGTGTGTGTCCTTCATGCATTACCACACCGTTTATCCGATTGCTGTGAAACTTTGTAAAGTTGTTTAATATACTCCAGCGAAGGTTTGTGGCCTAGTACGATTGCCATGAAGCTTTGGGAAGTTTTTTTTTAATACACTCCCGCGAAGGTTTCTGGCATTTACCCTACGATAGATGGCGCGCGTTTACACGAGCATTCGAGCACAGTGTGTTCGATCGATTTCAAATTGTGAAGACCATTTCCCCCCTCCAAAAAATATCTCTATATATGCATTTATTATTTATGATATTTGTTATAATTTTTGTTTAATCACTTTATTTCAACTTTTTTTTTGCTAATTACGTAATCGCTCGAACTTTGTTAAAGCCTTAACTGTATCATGAACAACAACCGAAGTTGTAGAAGGAAATTCGCCTATTTTACCGATCTAGGGATCCCCCTTTTCCAAATTTTAATATCAACTCAAAATAATTTAAAAAGACAAATTACAATAAAACGGTTTATTATCCAACTATCAGAAATTTCACAACATGCCAAGGAAGAGAGGAAGGAGCAATTAAATAATTAAAATTGTAGAGGATTAAAAAAAATATATAAAAATGGGGAATATCGCACTTCTGACAATCGCTGCAAGTATGTGGGCTAAATTTGGAGAAACCGCGCTTCTCGCATGAACAACTGTATGTGGCTGGCTCACGTGTCAGAAAACCTTCTGATTTATTCGCGTATGCACCAGATATAAAAATGGGGAATATCGCACTTCTGACAATCGCTGCGAGTGTGTGGGTTAAATTTGGAGAATCCGTGCTTCTCGCATGGACAACTGTACGTGGCCAGCTCGCGTCGGAAAACCTTCTGATTTATTGGTGTACGCTCCAGACAGAAAAACAAAAAATATCGTGTATCCACAAGCACTCCAATAAATAAATAGAATTGAAACGACACTTTGAAATGTTTTCCCGATGAAAAAAAAAAAAAATAATAATTATAATATAATAATAATAATAAGTGTCAATAAAAATGATAAAATGTAAATTTAATTTTATCATAACGAGTTTGCTTGAATTTCCTTTCTTCTGAGATCGCAGCAATGCGCGACAGGTAAGCTAGTTTTGTATATAGAGGTATGTCTGACACACACACACAGAAAAAGAAATTTATTAAAAGTAACTTCTATCTGTATTTATTTCTCAAATTACCAAAAAACTTGTTTACTTTGTAATATGATCCTTTGCTATTTGAATATATTTGTTCCAATAATGATAAAAGAGCATATAAAAGTATGATATAATTCTGATTAGATAACTATGCAACTATAAATTTACCAATTCAGAATAGAAAACTATTGTCAACCATACTTGGGGACAATAGTTTTCTATTCTGAATTGGTAAATTTTCCACTGTGAGGACATTAAGATTAAGTATATTATGTGAAGGTTAATTTGAGGAAAAGATGATTTAGTATTTCTCATGTTTAGCAATTGAAATGAGGTATTGATCAAATACAAACAAACATTAACATATAACAGAATTATTCTTATGGTAACATTCTAACTGTATTTGTGTGTCTTCACAGTACCAAAAAGATAACTAAATTATGAAGTATTTATTATTGCTTATGTCTGAAGAAAATCATGAAATAGCAAGAAAACCTTACCAATTATTGAGACTGGTAAAATATTTCTGCAATTTATCTAGCAGATGGCCAAATTTAAATTTTTAAAAATTGATATATGCTATGCTATTGAAGCATATAATTGTATGTGTATTAAATTTAGGAAAGTAGTGATGTAGCCAAATTTCATTTAGATTATTATGCATTAAAAAAAATCTTTCTCTACATTTATATATAATGCAGTCAAAAAGCTCTGGAACACTCTGTATGATTATTTAAAAAATATGCATATGGTTGTGTCACCACTTTATCAACCTGACAGTTTTATTTGCAAACAAAATGGAAACAGTGTTAATGTTTTCAATAGAGCTGTCAAGAAAATTACTGGTGTTATTGAAATCACTGGGGTTGTAAGTGGTGAGTTTTGTCCGAAGGAAGCTGGTGAGGTCATCCCAATCGGCACATGATAAATTATAATGTAGTGAAAGGTTGGTGTTACCAGTGATAGTTACATTATTTATCATAAAGTGGAGGTAGGCATGTTCACTGAGTGAATCTTCCTGGAGGACCCTCCAGCCCGTGACGAGATTAGAGCACTGAAATGAGGCAGCAGTAATGTCAATCCAGCTGTGGCACCTAGAACTGTAGAATGTTGGGGAATGTGGATCGTTTATGAGAATTAAGTTATTGGTGGCAAGAAAATCACCTAAGGCAGTCTCTCTGTCATCCAGATGCTCACCCCCCCAGGCAGGGGAGTGTGAATTGAAATCACCAACAAGGAGAAGATGGTTGTACTGAAGGTTGTTGATAGTGTCTTGGAGATGGTCCAAGAAGCTGTTAATATTGTTATTGTACGGATAGTAGACGTTAATGATAATGATGGTGCTGTTATTTATAGTTGTCTCAATGCACACAATGTGCTCATTGCTGTGCTGTGCTGGCTGTGAAGAAGAATTGGAAAGTTTTTGTTGTTTATGACAGAGATAGCCCAAGGGTAGTTCGTTGTTCTTTTTATGACAGTAGTGGAAGTGGGAAGACATGCAGGGACGTTCCTTTGACAATATGGCTCCTGAATGAAAATAAAGTCGTATTTGTTGATGTTGGCAGTTAAGAGGGAAGTGGCATTAATGCCTCTGCCCAAGTTGATTTGGAGAAAACTTATTTCTTGTTGATTATTCTGAGCCATAATCGGTTTTGGAGATAATGTTTAGCTTGTTTCTTTGATAGACTGGGCAGGAGCTGTCTCTAGCATTATGATCAGTGTTCACGAGTTTCTCATGAAGGCAGTTGCAATATTCTGGTTTCTTTTCTCTGTTATGGCAATCTTTAAATGAATGTTCCTGGTGGCAGTGGCTGCAAGTATTTTTAGTGTGGGCACAGTTTTTTGTTGAATGCCTGTAAGCGCAGCAATGGAAGCACTGCAGGACTGGGCAGAAGTCACCCATCCTGCAGCGGGACCATTCAAAATTGATTTTTCCGATCATTAGCAAGTACTTTCATAACTTAGGTGTTACTTCTAAAACATGATTTTTAAATTTGGCTTCTTTTTTCCCAGTGGTAAATTTTATTCAAAGTTGTTGACCAAATTCCTCTTTAGAGAATGTTTCTTGGATGAGGTTGTTCTGATCGTACATGCATTTTATAATGCCCTCATTTGACTTGTGGTTGGGGACAGAGTATAAAATCATGTGAGGCTTCCTTTTCTTAGGGAGCCTAGTACTGACATCAGGAAGTTTTTCCCTGATGCTGATTTCAAGGTTGGCTATATCTTCTTGTTTTTTGAGGTCACTTGCAACACCTCCACCAGCGATCTTTCTAATACGATCAACATCAATTTTCAAGGCTGAAGGCTGGATTTCCATTTGCAGCAGTTTCTGAAGTTTTTCACTAGTGATGTTTTCATTCTTGCTGTAAACCAGCAGGACATTATTGGAAGCTGCACGCATTGCTTGTTTTGCTTTATAGGGCATGTTGACGTTAATACCTGATTTTAGCACTGTGCTATATAATGGCTGGGTAAAAGCGGTTGTCTTTGCTGTCCCCAGTGTTTAAATTTTCTATGATATTATCCTGTTTTTCCAAAATTTTGCTGTCCTTCTTGTCTTCCATTAATTGGTCTAGCTTGGCAGAAATTTCTTCTAGTTTTTGTATACCAGTGTGGTTGGTGAAAATGTCTATTATACATTCAACGCTTTTGATGATATATTTAGGATGTTGCTGTTTGCCAATTTTGGTGTCTTTATTATTAGCCAGATAAGCCGTGAGTTTGTCTAAGACCTCAAATGCAGCCATCCGCTGGTTGGTAGTATTTAAAAAATTGTCCTCAGACATGGTTGCAGATAAGACAAACACAGTGTGGGTCAGTTCCCACACCTACATCAGATGAGTGAGGAAAATGGAAGAGCCCGGCCAACACACTAGTTTACGACCGACACCAAAAATTATCAACTATGCGTAAACTGAAGTACAGAACAGAAACAAAAGAGCAGGGGTACTCACTGCAAATATTTTACTTTGTAATCCAAAGGAAAATGTCCCACGGAAGGTCTCTGTGATGAGCCACCGAAGAGAAGTTGCATGTTCCCTCAGTGAAGACTCCAGAAGTTGAGGCACACCGGTGAAGTCTTAGCCAGCTGTCTATAAGGCTGAGGTCTCTGTTGAAAAACGGCCAAGCTAGCTTGGCCATTTTGGTAGAGACACTGGACAAGGAAGCTTGATTTGCGTGGAGTGCAACAGGTGAGGGCTATGGCACCAGCCGTCACTGGCAATCCAAACAGATGGGAAGGACTGGTCTGCTTGGTTAGCGGGTCCCCTACATAACCAAAAACAGATGAGGGTGTCACACCAACACAACAAAATACGCAATACACAAGGTGATGACACAACACAATATCCACCAGTTATCCAATGGGCATGTAAACACAAACACCTGGAAGATGGAAACCTGATATCCAAAATGGCCGATGCCATTGTCTTCAAGCACGTTCCAAAGCCAGGAAGACAAGATGGATGGCACAAAACTCCCAGGCAAAACTAAATAACTTTAGGTAAAAAGTTAGGTTTAGCGGTGTTAAGCTTAGAACCAGCAATAGAACTAGATAGGCCTAATATTAGGCTTAACTCAACTAAACTTTGCAAAAACAGATTCTGGAGCAGAGTAAATACACAACTTACCTGATTGAAGAACAAACTCAGAATCTTCTTAAATTCATCATTTAAAATTTTTAAATCAATAATAATTTTAAATCAGTAGAGGTAAAGATATATATACAGTACAGTGGATTCTGCTTAATTAGGCCGCTGGTTAATCGGGGCAGCTGCTTTATTGGGCCAAATCTCAAAGAACAGAAACCAAACTAATACCTAATTTAATTGCTTAATTGGGACAGTAGCAGAAAAGGAATTTAGCAATTTTTGATATATTTTAGGGATCTTCTGAAAATATGTAGACACTACTTAAACTAATGTTGTGTAGGCCTAATGGTTGGCAGAGACAAAATGATTTTGTCTTTCACTTGGACAGTTTGGTTTTTCTGGGGGGTCAGCATAGTGGGACATATCACACAGTTATCCCATCTGAGGCAGTCCTTAATTCAAGCTACTAACCCTGCTCTGGATTGGACCAGACGATCCCCTTTAAAGCAAAGGGACAAAGATCCCTGGACAATTTTTCAAGGTCTCTCAATTGAATTAGAAGACAGCTAGAGTTCCTTGGAAGGTATTATGTGCATAATTACATCTAGATTAGGACATCAGCCATCCAATTGTTGAGACCAGTATCCGGAGCTGGCAGATTCTATGGACAATCCTGCCGAAGTGGCCCATCTCAAGTAAAGGAAACTGTGCTCAAAGGAAGACTGTAAGGTGACTTTTGGATGAACCCTTTCCTTTCTCCTTTTTTAGTTAGAACATGTTCTAACTAAAAAGGGAGAAAGGAAAGGGTTTGATCAGGAACGAATCCAACAGGTACATCACTACTAATACAGTACTGTATTTGGCAACACTAGTGTGATGTGAATCAGTTATCTATTGTCATGAGTCTGGCAAATTTATATTACAAATATTTTCTCTATTTTGGTTTAATAAAGCATTAAACTAAGTACCTAATTATTATTTTTTATCTACTTATTTATTTACCTATGTATTACATATTTTATTTTGGAATTTAATATTAATTCATTTAATTGGGGCACCCACTTAATCGGGCCAAAATGGATTAGTCCCAATGCATCCCAATTAAGTAGAATCCACTGCATTCCTGATTACTTTATTATAGCAGTGTTTGCTTTTTAAAAATGTTTATATTTAGCTGTTCTTATTATTTTGCTAAAAAGATTAAATTCTTTACAGCAGGAATAGAAAGGCTATGTAAAAAACTTAATGTTTTTGAGAACAAATCTTTGGAACCAAAAGTTTCTGTTTAAGTAATAGAAATCTTTTAGATTTATTTTAATATTGAAAAAACAGAAGTCAAATTATTCTGTTTGTTACATTATAATTCATTTGATTTATCTTTATAATTTAATGTAATACAGAATGTTTCTAAGAGAAGTTTTATCTTTATTTAATGAAGAATATATAACCAGAGAGGTATAAACATTTCAAATATCAGTTTATTATGAAATAAGTTAAGTTCAAACTAATTTTTAATTAGATATTTGCTTATATTGAAAAATATTAATTCATTTTAAATTTTGTTTTACAGACACTCACAGGAAAAGAGGTATGTATTTTAGTTTTGTTATGCAAATTACAGAATTGTCATACAGTCAAGAATAAATAATTACTGCTACATTCAGAAATTATACATTCAACTTTTCGTTAGTATGCCCCTTTGTTAGAGTGCCACCCTCATTTACTGCCATATATTTATGAAGAACAAATCTTTCCTATGGAGTATTAAAAAAACCCTGTTATTATGCCAACTCACTTAATGCCAGTAAAAATTCTTTGGAATTTCTTTCCCCTAAACAGTTTTGTAATGAATTATTTTGGTTGAATGTTGGATGTGTTCTCACCCACAGCAGATAGCAATGAGACTTTCACTTTTTGCTTTGAAATCTATTGCTTTTTCAGTGTTCTAATTTAACTTGCTATTTTTGTGAGAGTGTCCTCAATATGAGTAAATGAGCAATCATATCAATTAAAGAAAAACATGAAATTTGTTTATACAAAAAGAAATTTCCAAATGCTAGTCATCAACAAAGAATAGCAGAACACACTTTTTTTTGTGGAAGAAAACAATCAGTCGCAGATGCATTGGACACAACTTGGAAGAAAAAACAAAGTGGCTGCAAGCGCCTTCTTCTAAGACATTGCATCTTAGATCTGCTAAACATGAGACTTTTGAAGATGCCCTAGTAATGTGGATTAGCCAAGCATGGAATTGTAACAGAAGCTGTAATTATAGAAAAAGGAAAAGAATTTGGAAGATAGATGGGATTTACAGACTTCCAATGTAGTAATACTATAATAAATTACCAAACGATCGCCTAAATATCGGGCTATAATATGGCTAATTAAGTGATTGGAATAAAGTAATTTGACACTAGAGGTAGGCGTTAGGTGCCATCTCTTAAGTAAATTAATAATTAAAATTAAATAAACAAATTATTAAATAAATTTTAGAACCTTCTGGAATAAAAGAACTGGCCCAGAACGGGGCTTGAATCTGCAACCTCTGCTTGCCGTGCGGTGCGCTTGCCAGTTACGCCACCCAGACCCCGAGCGAGTCTTTGCTTCCAGAAGTATATTAGATTTAGATATAACCTTACTTGGTTAAATACATCACTGACTGGGGACGACTCCTTCGCCCACGTCCATAATGGCACTCAGCCAGCTAACGCAATACCCGGCGAGGTATATGTGTATATATATATAACAACAGCTCAAAGCCCGAGTAGTATATAATAAATTACCAAACGATCGCCTAAATATCGGGCTATAATATGGCTAATTAAATGTGGATTGTGTGTGAACATAGTAATACTATGTTCACACACAATCCATGACTCACTTTGATCTTGATTTACCTACAATCTGGATTGTGACTGTTGCCAGTTGAACGTCGTGCTTGAGAAGAACCCGGCTATTACATGTGATGATAAAACTGACATAACTACACGGTTAGTCACAAACACCAACAAACAAAATGGAAGTTTTGGTTAGAAATAAATACTTTTTTTTGCCATATATCTAGTAATAGACAGATATCATTGTCTCTCCAGTTGTCTTTTTTATTTTTCTGTCGATAGCTCGACACATGCTCTGCAGTCATCTTGTATTTTCTCACATGTGTGGGATTGTGATCTCTCTTATGACTGGATCTAGTTTCAAGAACTCTCTTGAGTTGATTGCGATTGAACCTCATTTCAGTTGATATTGAAACAGTCAAGAGAGGTCGCACCACTACATAGTCGCTGACCATGGTCACAATCTAGATCAAAATACTTGATGTGAATGGGGTATAAGGGTTGGTTTGCATGATTCAAGTAGTCATGGAATTTTACAGTGTATCAGGCAAGGTAAAACAGCTGAAGTGTATGACCAAGATGCTTGTGAAACATTGTCTGACATGATTGGACAGTGTGAGTTAGAGAGTGTTTTTAATATAGATGAAAGTGGATTGTATTACAGCATGCAGCTAGACAAGACAATTTCCTGTAACACCTGAAACAATTGAAATTGCTGGAGCCACACAGGATTAATTTCATTAGTTTATAGTCCATCATAGCAAAATCATGTGATGGAAGAGCTGACAGATGTTTTGAACCAGTTTCAAGCAACAGCATCATTGGAAAATCCCTTAACTCCAGAAGAATGTTTAAACCTTCAAAAGACGACAATTTGCCAACTTTTGAAGAAATGAATATAGAAGAGATCCTGTGAACTGCAAATCATGCTAAAAAATTCTGATTCAGATGATGAGACTGAGAAAGTGCAACATCCACCATCTGCTAAAGAAGCAAAAGAAATAATTATAATAGTAAAAACCTTCATAGAAGCATACTGTGGTGATTCTGATATAATGTCCCACGTGTATGCCATAAATGATATTATTAATGAAATCAGTGAGCATAGAAAAAGCAGTCATTAATACCAGATTTCTTTGTCTCAAAATAAATATGTTTTGTATTTACTTGTAGTGTGTATGCATTTTACTCTTTCACTTCAACTCTTATTTCTGCTGTAGAGATGTATTTATATGTTTTACTGAATTTTCTCTTCTTCAGCAGCATATTTTTCTAATTTCAATAGTGCCATTCTTGTATAGTGCCAAAAAGGAGGAAAATACAGATAGTGTCATACTAACGAGGGCTGACTGTATTAAAATTTAAATTTAAATTAGAAATTGTAAAATGTTGCTATTTATATTCTGTTCTAAATTTCAGTGATGTAAAAAAATTTTTGATATTAAAAAATTATGTAAAGCTTAATTTTTATCAAATTATATTCTTTAGCTATTAATTTCTTAAGAGAATTTTTAGTCTTAATAAATCTTAATTCTTTATCAAATAAAAAGAAGAATAATAAATTTTTAAAGAAATGTATCTAAAAAATTGCATATATAATTTGAATTTAATTAAATACTAAACATTGTCATGTTGATAAGAATATATTTCTTAATATGACTGAATATGAAAATCTTATAAAAAATCTTTTAGAAATGAAAATTAAATATAAAAATGAAATTAATAAAGTATTGGAAAAAATGTGCCAGCTTTTTAAAGTGTGTAGTAACCTAATTTTTAATTATTAAACCTGATTTTATCAAATAATGGCAAATAATCTGTCATATTATTAGGCTTTCATAATGCTAGCTATTCTTATTATAGTCCAATAATATGGCAATTTGTTTAGCATTAATAAACCTGTTTTTTCATATGCTATAATAATAATACATGTTATTTTATGTTAGTCTTAAATTTTAACCTAATGTGTCATTAGAACTTACTGAGAATTAATAATGTAAGATTGTACTTTATAGAATTTTATGTTGTTTTAGATTTAAAGTAAACTATTAGTTAGAGATTAAATTATAATACATATATTGAAAATGTAAGATTTATTTTAAATATGAAAAATTTTTATATTTTAATACAATTAAAGGTATAAAATTTTATTTTATTTGTATTTGGATTGTGATAAAATTTAATTAAATTTCAGATTGAGATTGACATTGAACCAACAGATAGGGTAATTATTGGATTTTTTAATTTCTTTTTTAATTAATTAATATAAAATTTTAATCTGTAGATTGTTGTTTATGTAATTGTGAGAATCTAAAGAGGGGGACAATTAATCCCTTAATTAATTAATTAAAGTAATATTCCAATCCGATTCTAGGGCGACAAATGGTCAAACGGGGAAAGGATGACGAAGTGGAAAAATCCACACACATCCTATTTCGTTTGATTTTGTAAATGATAAAAATCAATCAGATGACCATCCAAATTAATAATTATTACTAAGGTTGCAAGACAGACCTTGATCTTAGTCACTACCAACCATTAATTCAGTTTGCTTGATGGTTGTTATCAATTTTATGAGGTAAAATGAGTAACTATATCAGATAGAAAGAGGTAATAAATTTATTGAAATGTTTGATTTCTGACAATTAACATAAACAATACCCGGACACAAATCGAACTTAGACCACGTTGCATCAGAATTCCCCGATAGTTCCCCTATGGGATGAGTATAAAAAGGGATCGCACCCGCACCTTGGGGCGATTGTTGAAAGGAAGCATCTAGGCGGAAACTCTATTCAGACCTATCTACCCTGTCAAAGGACCGCTCGGGACTTGATTGCCTCGCTAACCCTTGTTTACAATGTAAGCCATCTCCTGATGTGAAGCTGTGAAGCTGGTAAGAAGGCCAAGCTCACTACTCGAACCCCTTTGGTTCTCACATAATTTAATTGTAAATAAAAATTTAAACTAAGAAAAAAGTTATATTTATATACTAAATAACTCTTTCAAATTACAATAATGTATATTTTAAGGAAGAAATTGTATCATCTTTTGGCATTAGATTTATTTACTCAATGGATTAAATACTGTATATGCTGTGTGTATTTACTTCATCAAGTAAATAAATCTAACTCCTCAAGACAGTTCAATTTCTTCCTTATACTATATTTGGCATTGTATATGAGAATATAAATTTTTACAATGAATATCTTAATTAAAAATTTGTTAGCAAATGATTCATTTTTTTTCAATAGATAAAAATAATAATGCTATATGCATTAATAACCTTTGTACGTAAATGAGACAGTTATAATTTATATTATGTATTATAAATCAATTATATCAGAAATTAATAACTTTTATTAAATCGTAAATTTTTATCTTAAAATTTTTCTGAAGTAACAAAAGTGAGGAAATAAAATTTCTGATGCAACAAAGTTTTTATACACAAGCAATAACAGTCTGATTTGTTCTGTAGTATCAATAAGCTTTAATGGGCTGAGAAGATAAGGTTCAGTCAAGTTCCAGAAATATGATTCTTGATAACTCGATATTCTGTAAAACTTATGATAAAAAAATAATAAATAAATACATGTAACATCATTTTTTTATCTGTAACTTAACACTCCAAGTGTTAACAAACAATATGATTCTTAGAATTGAATTATGACTATTTACAAACATTATAAAAATTTTCGAGTCCATCTTTTATTTTTTTTTTACACATCCATAGAAGTAACAGTATATTGGCTTGAATAAACTTCATTAGAACAACTGGTAAATTATAAAAAAAATCTTCATGCAAAGTTAAAAATTGACCGAAGCACCGACCAGAAATCCTTCAAATCTGTAGTGAGGTGAATTTTGCTTTAATTTGCATAATTAGGACAGTTCCTAAACACCTGAAATGGAATTAGAGGTGGACAATGTGTACAGGAGTTATTTTCTCACTATTTTAGAGGAATCTCTCAGTAGCCATTTGCTTTTAAAGCTAAGTACTGAACCATACATGAGGCATCTTCAAATGTGCATTAGTAAAGACAATACCCAAGTGTTTGCTTGTGTGTGTACACCACTGTGAAAAGCTATCATCATTATTAATATGCACATGAATTGAAAATTATTTAATATTCCAAATTTTATACAAATGTTAGTTTAACTAATGTAAAATGGATTTTCTATGTAAAATATAACTCTCATCAACCATTAATCAGTGTGAATATGATTACACTTGATTAGCTATTCACAGCGGTTAATGGTTGATGTGAGTTGTATTTTATGTTTATCTCAGTGTGCTGTGCAGTTACGGATTTCAACATTAGAGTTTAAAAAATAAAGCAGAAAGATAATGCTATCTTTAGTTCAATTTCATTAATTATTATTTTGAATGAAATGTAATAATAATTAAATAAAAAATAAAATTACAATGTTTTTTGAATTAAATCTAATAATTTTTAGTTTGTTAGTGTGTTAACCACTTTGAAAAAATTATTTATATTAATTGAAAGTTAGCCAAACTTTTAATTAATATACAATAAGCTTTTCAAAGAAAATTCTTTGAACACAAATGCTCAGTTTTGTTATTTACATAGATATTTCTCAGGCTTTTGACTCCATTCTTCCCAATCTTATATTAACGTTACTATGAGAACAATTCGATTTAGATCCTGTATTCCATTCTTGGTTAAATAATTACTTCCTTACATGTTTTAGTAAAATTAAAATGTGTGATTTTGAATTCCTTGATTTCCACCTAATCTGTGGCATTCAACAAGGATCAATCCTCAGCAGCCTCAGTTTATATAAATAACATTCTTAGCCATCTTTATTCACATGTTATAACATATGCTGATGACATTAAACTAATAAATCATTACTCTGTTTTTCTATAATCAGATTTAAACATATCTGAATTATTTGAAAAGGCCAACTTAAGAATAATTCTCTTCTCTAACTGCTCTTACAAATAACTAAACCTTCAAAAATCTTTAAAATGCAGTCTTTTATTATTATATCATGTAATGTTTTCTCTTATCATTGAAAATGTTAGATGATATAATAATAAAAGACTTCATTTTAAAAGTTTTTGAAGGTTTAGTTAAGAAATAATGCCCAAAAAACAGTCTTAATGTGCTTTTCGTTAACCAGAAACTTATCTTTTCTGTCCTTTGTTATTTGTACCAAATCTATAAATTATGTCAACTTTGTAAATGGTCTAGGCATTATTTTTTTATAGTAAACTTTGTTTTAAAACTTGTGTTGAAAAAATAGTTAAATTCCTTGTCATTTGACATGGAATCCTATGAAGACTTTTGTCATTCAATATCTTCTAAAACAGATTTACATTCCTTTTTTTTTTTTTTTTTTGCTAATTTTCAATCACTTATTGATTACTTTATACAAATTTGGTCAATGGCTGCCTCTACTCTGTTAGAAAAAATTACAAAAGAACTGAATAAAATATACTTAACCTTTAATAAATTCTGTAATTTACCTTTTACTAGCCACCCTAAGATTGCTAGGTCCAGATTGGGTTTTCCTTCATTTACTAATCACATAAAATATTTTTATCAATTATTATACACTCTGTCGCAAAAAAATGTATTCACCCAGAAGAAATCGAGCCACAATCACGAAAGTCGGTAAGAATGTAGACTAGTAAGACATATGCAAATGATTAAAAATTCAGAACAAAAGATCGTTTTATTAAGAAGTTATGGCATGAAAAACGTTACAAATCAGTAAGTAGTAAAGCCACCTCTGGCAGCTATACAAGCCGAAACACGGCGTGGCTTCGAATCAATTAGGTCACCTATGACCCCTTGCAGAAGATCATGCCATAATCTTTGCAACTGGGCAGTTAATTCACTTGTATCATGAGACGGCTGCATTTGCCTTCCCAACATGTCCCAGACGTGCTCTATTGGCGAGAGGTCTGGTGACCTGGCAGGCCATGGAAGTACATCATATCCTTGAAGACATTGTTGGGAGAGTCTCGCAGTATGTGGACGAGCGTTGTCCTGCTGATAAATGGCACCTGGGCGACTTGATAGAATAGGCAGTACAACTGGCGTTAAAATGCTGTCCACATAACTGCGAGCCGTCATGTTGCCTTGAAGGACAACTAGAGGTGATCGTGTGTCATAACAAATCGCTCCCCACACTGTCACACCTTGTGTAATCGCTGTATGCCGCTCGACAACAAATGCCGGATTGGACCGCTGGCCGGGCCGCCTCCACACGTGTGTTAGGTGGTCATCAGCACTGAGACTGAATCGAGATTCATTGCTGAAGACCACACGCCTCCAGTCGGTCACACTCCAACTTGCCCGAGGTCGGCAAAAATCCACTCGACACTGCTTATGATGTGGGGTCAGTGGTAAGTGTCTTAATGAACGTCAGCTCCTTATACCAGCGTCGGCCAGTCATCTCCTAATGGTTTTCCTTGATGCCTGGAAGGTGGTAAATGGCGTCGAATCGATGATAGCGACGTTGTTGGTGCGGACATTGCCGCTCTTCTGATTGCGCAATCCTCACGCTCATTTGTGTTTCTGGGACGTCCTGACCCTCCACAACGGTAGACTTTCTCTTCAGTCATCCACTGTTGCCAACACCAAGCAACTACCATATCGCTCCGACAGAGGTGGCGGCCAATACGCCTGTTCGACCAACTGGCTTCTCTGAGGCCTACTATATGGTCCCTTTCAAACTCCGTCAACTGCTCGTACTGCCGCCTGTTATGTCTCAGAGGCATCTCTATTCACAATACCATCCATCCAAGTTGACAGATTCGTTTAAATAGCCCTACGGTGCGAGCACTCGTGCTTTTAAACTCTCCCAGCTGCACATTTCATATGCTTGTACCGCCGTTAGCCTTGTCTCATTGGTGTCAAAATTTTTATCATTTGCATATCTCTTACCAGACTATGTTCGTACCAACTTTTGTGATTGTGGTTCGATTTCTTCTGGGTGCATACATTTTTTTGCGACAGAGTGTATTATAGGTATTATAACAGTCATGTAATGTCTGATTGGATTACATTAAATGTTTCCTCATGCAATTTTCATAATTTTTCATATATATAATTCTTAACCTTTTTTTTTTTTATATTATATTACATACTTTTTAACAGTATTTTTAATTGTTTTCTTATTTTTATTGTATTTTAATTTATTTGATAATCATTGTTGTTTGTTTTTATGTATTTTATTTGGTGTTCAAAT